ATGGGTTTTACCACTGTTTGGTAAATCCAGTAGTTACGTTGAGAACTGATTCCCCTTGACTAGCCGCATATCCTTCTGGGGGTCCAGAGGGATAATCTCGCTTTGTTAATGTTTTTTTTTTCAATTGGGGGATCCAGGTGGGTTTCTTATTTAGGATTATCCCCAGATATTTCACATTTTCCGAAAAAGAATTAGCTTCCTCAGCCAAGCTAGCTTGTCGAAACTTGTCTTCTCTTGGTAAAGGGAACAGTTTTCCGGGGATTAAGAGACATCTGCTCCCACTCGCACCATCTATTGATCGTATTTAGGGCTTGTTGAAGGATATTGGAGATTACATCTCCTTACTTATGATAACCCGATCGTCCACATAGCATTGGAAATTCATCCCTTGCCGAGAGAGATCGTCCAGAAGAGTGTTCACCAGAATGGTCCACAGTAGGGGTAAAAGTACGTCGCCTTGTGGACATCCTCTGGTAGACCTGAAAGTGACTCTCTGAAGTGATGAAATGATGCTTCGGTTTGCAAGCATGCTTTTGATCTAGTTACAGGTCAGTTTGTTGATTCTTCTTTTAATAGATGCGGACAGAAACTGAGAAAGGACGTTATTGAACGCCTTCTATGGTTCCCACGCAATCGCCTCGTGTTTTAGGGAATGACCGATTTTGCCTACTAGATTGTGCAATGCATGATCTGTGGATTTGCCTGCTTGGTAGGCATATTGGGAGGAGTTTACCGGGCGTGTCAGAAGGCGTCCTTCTCTAATATGTCTATCTAGAATTATCTCTAGTGTTTTCAAAAGAAAGGATGATTGACAGATTAGACGGTAGGAGCTTGGTAGGGAGGTATCTACCCCATCAAACTTGTGTATATAAACAACTTTCGAAATCGTCAAACCTAGCGAGATATAGCTCAACGCCAGGCTTGCTCTAGCCTCACAAGGAGAGGTAGCAAGGGTTCCTGTCCTTTTTGCAAACGGGCAGGAAATATGCCATTCCGTCCGGACAATTTAAAAAAGGATAATGAATTCATCGCTCATTTCACTGCGCTTGGAGAGACAACTTGTTCAATGCAGTTCCAGTCCTCTTTCTTGGGTCTTATGATCGATTCCCTATAATGAAGGAGTACAATTTACCTTTACCTGGGAAGTGTTTGTGTAAAAGAATCTCTAATGTTTCCTTGCCAGAGTCCATGTAGGTGTTACCGGGTCTTTTTATGGAGCCGACTTTTATGATTTATGATTTTATGTAGATGAGATTAAATAATAAATAAGACTTATTTAAAGTTAAATAATATAGTATTTTCTATGTTTTATTTAGTAATAAATATATTTATTTTTAGTATTTTCCTAAAGTTATGTAAAATCCTCATAACAAGTCAGGCACATCGTAGATCACTTGAAACACCAGCGCCCCTGCGCTGTTTTTTAAAAGCTCAATTAAAAATTGTTCGTTTTTTGGGTTCATACTGAGTTTATGTTGATTTAATTCCTTCCCTCTAGTATCTATAATGATACCTTAATTGCGTATTGAGAAAATACATATAAGTAGCAGAATATTTTCATTTATAGATTGGTGCCGTAATTTTTGTATAGATTTATTTTTTAAGACCTTTAAACATCTCAAGAATTGTAAGTAAATGTTTTTCTTTGATAATTGATGGTTAGAAGCCGCTGAGCATAGAATATACAGTTTAACGGTCAATTAGAAAATCAATCGCCTGGAAATAATTATGGTAAACAATAAAAAATATAAAGATTTCGAATCAGTTGTGCTAACTGAACCGGCTAAATTACTGCGTGCATCGGAAATAAATATTATTAATGACAAAGGAAGGAAGACATTCAAGAGTAAAAAAAAATAAAAATAGGAAGTGGTTTTCTTTGATTTTATTGTTTTTTTTTCCTTACTCTTTCAGGCATATCTGTTGTCTATTTTGCCATGTTTTTTTTTTTAAATTGTGAATTAGTCTGCGGGTCCAGGGTACTTATCTACTATTTTGTCATTCATCATTCCATTTGTTCATAACTTTCGTTCTTTCCGTTCATCCTTATTTCTTGCATACAATCTTCGATTTTCATTTAACGACGATTTTGGACTGACGAAAAGTCCAATATTTTAAATTCACACTAACAGAACCAATCAGAAATAAAAATACTGAGCTAATAATTGGTTTTATTAATTATACAAAGTATATTTATATTAAAATTGCAAGTATATAGATAACGGGTTCTATAATCGCTACCTAATGTAAATAATTAGCATTACGGACGACACATTCATAGATGCCGACTTTTTTTTTAAACAGGGACAGAGGGAAGCGTTCCATGACGCGGGCCAAAGAAAAGCCTTCATATCTCTTTAATCATGTGTTCTAAAATATAGATCCTCTACTTCCCAAAGTCGAAAGATATATCTATGATCTTTTAAAAAAACATCGATTTATTTTAAATGTATTTTTTTTTCATGTTTTAGCATTGTCCTGGGAGCCTATGGATATGTTAATCCTATACTTTAGCTAAAACTTGAAACGCTGTTAAAGAACTTTGTGAAAATGATTTAAAAAGTGTGTTTGATTAGTTTTCTGTACTGAATGTCATTACAACATTCACATCTATCTATTGGTTGTTAAATGAATAAGATGGTGAATTCATCCTTAAAATAAATGGAGTACAATACACTATTTGGTATAGGCTTCATTGGATTTTTAAATATCGTGGATAATTTGAAAATCTGTAATAAAATAATAACCTTAAGCATTGTAAAAAAGTAGTGAGTACATTTCTTGTAACTGTAAAAACTTAATTTCTTCTGGTTTTTAATTTTGTAGCTTTTATACGAGGATGTATCAGAAAATAACGAGACTGGTGCTATAGTATAACAACCAAACATTTATTTAAACAAATTCAACAACTATCCTTCGAAGTACTCTCCATTCTGTTGAATACACTTATTCCATCGCTTTATCCACTTATCATAAACTTCTGAGAAACCATTTTTTGATAGTATGTTTAGTATACCCATCACAGCGTTGTTGAGCTCTATATCCGACTCAAATCTTCTACCTCTTAATTTTTTTTGACTTCAGGAAACAAATGGAAGTCACATGGAGCAAGGTCAGGAGAGTAGGGGGGATGAACCATAATTTAAACCCCTAATTCTTCAATTGTTCGTTGACAAATCATTGATATATGAGCCGGAGCATTGTCGTGATGCAGCGTCCAGCCAAAGTCCTGATAAAGCGGCCTTTTTTTCTTTAATTTTACCTTTAAGGGTCCTCGAAGTACATTAGAATAGTACTCCCCTGTTACTGTATGTCCTCTAGGTACAATGTGATCGTAAATAACGCCAAATTTATCAAAAAAAATCAGGTGCATCACTTTACCAGCGCTTTTAGCAGGTTTGGCCTTCTGCGGTCTTGGGCTGTCTTTATGCTTCCATTGCATACTTTGAGACTTCAATTCAGGACCGTAATGATAAAACCAACTTTCATCACATGTAACCACATTATTTAAAAACTGTGGGTTACGTTGCAATTGCCTTTTCGACTGCTGACAAATTGTCACTCGATTCGCTTTTTGTTCATCGGTCATCACTTTTGGAATCCATCTTGCTGCGATCTTCCGGTACTCTAAATCTTCATGAATAATTTTTTGAGTGGTACCGTAAGACAAATTAACATTGTCAGAAATTCGTTTTATGCCAATCCCGCGATCGTTTTGTATCAAGTCGTTAATTTCTGCAATTTTTGTGTTATTTCTCGCAGTTTGTGGTCGACCGGGACGAGGTTCATCTTCAACTGATTCACAACCGTCTTTAAACTTTTTATGCCACTCAAACACTCTACATCGTGATAAACTATTATCTAGATATGCACCTTTAATCATTTCAAAAGTTTCAGTTGGTGTTTTACCCAATCGAACACAAAATTTTATCGCGTATCTTTGCTCCACTTTCATTTTTCGATGGGTACGCAAAACACTGACAATTCAATAATTAATTTGTAACAAATGTCAAAAGTTAAATCAAAGCCTACTTGCGGGGTAGTACATTAAATATAAGGCTTTCATGTCTCATTTTTTGGGTTACGAAATGTTACCTCTGAAAGAAGTTATAGCACCAGTCTCGTTATATACTGATATATCCTCGTAGTTAGGTTTAGTCATTCTTTTCCTCAAAAACAGTAATAAAAAATACTGATTTGGACAATATTAACGTCAAAATATCTAAATTTGGAAACTTTTGGACAACTATGATTATGACATGATTTCTAAGAATGGCAGAAGTGGTGTAATTTTTTTAATGGCATGTCATCTCCATATTATTCAATCTCATTGATACATACTGTGATAGATACTCAACTAATGTTGATATCATATCCTAATGAATTGCAGTAGTCGGCATGTCTTCTTCTGCCAATTTTTTATTGCTCGGCTGGTTCCATTTTAAATCAAATACACGTCTTTCTATCACTATAATTACAAAATGTTACTTTGACCAGGTACAACAATGATACTCAACACTATACTAGTGTTGCCAATACCGAAGTAACAATTAACCCAAGGCTCTAGCATAAAAAACGCAATTTTCGATCTAAAAGTGCAACTTTATTGCCAACATAAAAAGACAATATTTGATTTGAAACGACAAAATAAGAGGATGAGGGTTTTTGGTGATTCACAAGTAATTCACTTTAAATTCAATACGTTTTCAAATACAGAATTGTTTAAAACTGTATGTCGATTCTTTTGCATATGAAAAATTCGTTATTTATAAGAGAGAAAAAATAGAAATTTTATTTGGATTAACATATCGACTTAGCAGGTTAAAACTGCCATACACGTAACCTATATTGTCAATGTATTAAACTGTCAAATTTTTAAATCTGAAAGCTTGGGTTCAACCCTCGTATATATTAAGTAGTTAGCATCGACTACTCTTATATACAGTAGTACTATACATCTCGTAATATAGAGTTATTATGAAACAAATTTCTATATCCTTATGCGGGATCCCTTCGAATTTAATTGGAAATTAGCCACAACATTTCAGGGAAAGTCTTTACCTGGAAATCTCGCTAAGAATTTAATAAATATATTACAGCAGCATTTCGGTGTTTTCCTAATTAAAATTTCCAATTTGTTGGATAAATGGCCGGAAGCAGGTTTCATGTATGACCACGTACGAGGTTTGTTCGTTAATTAGCAGTCGTACGCTATATTTGAAGCTTTCAATTTGATTTAATGCCGGTTTCGAGTTTGATAAGGTAGCGAGTTATTTAGTTAGTAGTAAAATGAAAGAGAAACATTGAGATTAATTGAAGTAGGTACATTAGTAGCTCGTGGCCTTTTCTAGGGGATGTTATTTTTAAAAAGGCACTTAAGATATTAAATTTATTAAAACTTACCAAAGTACTTTAGGTGAACCGATATGAAGTGTTTCTGTTGTTTTTGGTATTGTTCTATTAATTAGTCAAAGCAGTCGGTAAGTACCCGACAAAACAGCACTTTTGATATGTAAATTTTATATTTTTTAATTGTTCTAATCTAGCACACTTTTTTATCCATTCTATATACACTATACACATTTATATTTGGTAAGTCATAATTTATTTTTAATTACTTCACTGTAAGTTTCATTGGTATTTGTCATAAATGAAAGTAAATTTAAGCGGCTACTATGTTTCTCATGCATATTACTTACTATGAGACCTGTAGTCACTTTCTTCAATTCTCCAGTATTTTCCTTTGCTAAATTTTTCAATAACTATATACCTAAATATACTGTTTTAAATTCAATTGATTTAGTTAACAAAATTAAAAACAAATCTAAGTTCTGAAGCTAAGTTAGTTTCTTTTGATGTTAGCAATTTATTCACCAATGTTCCCAGAGAGGACCTTCTTACTAAAAATAACTTCAACCTTCATTATATCAGTATTATCTTGGATTTACTCAAAGTCTGTCTTGACCAAGATTTCTTTATTTTTAATAAAACATTCTACAGACAACCCAATGGCCTAGCAATGGGTAATCCTCTAAGTCCTTTGTTAGCAGACTTATTTTTAGATCACTTAGAAACAAAAAAAATTTTGAATGATTTTCCTAATAACCGAATATCACACTGGTACAGATATGTTGATGACATTTTTGCAATTATGAATTGTAATTTTACTGAGATTGGTTACTTCTTATTTTTCACTAACAATATCAATCCTAAAATCAAATTCACAGTCGAGCTTGAAGTCAATAAATCACTTAATTTCCTAGACCTTTCTATCAGTCATCTGGATAATAAACTTGAATTTGATATCTACAGGAAACCAACTCAAACTGACCACCTAATTAATTATTTAAGTTATCAGCCATATACTGTTATGTTCATCGTCTTCTTAATATACTTTTAACTAATCATAATTTTAATAAAGAAATCAACGTTTTAAAACAATTAGCTTTTAATAATATTTGCAATCCTTCCTTTATTAATGTGGTTATCAATAAAATCAAAGTCAACAAAAGGTCTCAACTTGCTTTTAATCCTACTGTTATGTGAGCCATTTCATTATTCAGTCATGCTCTAACCCTACAAGTCCCTCTCTGTCTTATTTGGCCTTTGAGGCTCAACTTGTCCGATTATTATACATAATTAAACCCCTTAAGACCAAACCTATGGGACGACTATGGCAGAGGTGATTTCGATGACTATTCGAGAAAAGACGGGATATTTCTGGACTGTTCCAAATATTTCTAGTTTGGTGGAGAAGCTTCGAGACTCCACCAAAGTTTAGAAATGTGTACATAAATATTGGTGGAAGAACACAGTAGTCAGTTAGTATATGGACAGTGAAGATAAATAGTAATTAGTAGATATACAGTGGTGAATAGTGATCAGTTTGAAGACATTCGAAGTATATATAAAATAGAAGTAGTTGTGTTATAAAATAAATAAGTGTTTAAATAAATTATTAATAAATAAACAAACATCACATTGGTGTCGAGAAGTGGAATAGTGTAAATAAATAGAGGACAATAATGGCTAAAAGACTGTGTGATTTAAAAGTGACCGAGCTCCGTCTGGAGTTAGAAGATCGTGAGTTGGAGACGACAGGGAAGAAAGCAGAACTGGCAGAGCGGCTTAAAGAAGAATTAATAAATGAAGGTTTGGATCCGGAAACGTACCTTTTTTCGGATGATGCATCTTCTATAATTTCTTCGTTAGAAACTCAAATAGCAACTATAAAAATCGATATTTCTTCTGATGTTTCCTCCATAAAAAATGACATTTCCTCATTAGAAACTAAAGTTTCTTTAGACATTACTTCCTTAGAAAGTAAAGTTTCATCCAATATTTCTTCCCTAGAAGAAATGGTATCTTCTGATATGTCTTCCGTAAAAAACGAAATCTCTTCTTTAGAAACTAAAATCTCTTCTGATATTTCTTCGTTAAAAGATGAAATTTCTTCCGACTTGGAAAACAAAATGTCTTCTATGGAAAATAAATTTTCGTCAAATATTTCTTCTTTAGAAGAAAAGGTGTCTTCCGAAATGTCTTCTTTAAAAAATGAAATTTCTGCTGATGTGGAAAATAAGATGACTTCCGTCGAGGAGAAAATAAAAGAAATGGAAAAGAAGATAGAAGAACTGGAACATTCAGACCCGGCCAAGGACGTTGAAATTAAGTGCCATGAGGTGGAGTCGAAGCTGAAATTGGAAGGAGCTGTAAACTCTCCTCGTGTTAAAGCCCCAACTTTTGAAGGGAAAATGTCTTGGACGAACTACCTTAAGCAGTTCGAAACAGCTGCCAGAGCAAACGAGAATGAACGAGAAAAGGCAATAAATTTGACCATCGCTCTTCGAGGAGACGCTTTGGATGTCCTTCAGACTATACCCGTGGAAGAGACAGATGATTTTGAACAACTGAAAAAGAGACTCAACATGCGATATGGCCACGAACACTTGGAGCAGGTATACAGATTACAGTTGAAGAATCGCAAACAGAAACGTGACGAGAGCCTTCAAGAATTTGAATTAGATATTGCGAAGATGGTGCGATTTGCCTACCCGTCAGCTCCAGAAAACATGATGGAATGTTTGGCTGTTCAAGCATTTGTAGATGGACTTCGTGACCATGAAATGCAAAGAACACTTCGTCTAGCCCGTCACAAAACATTGGTCGATGTCTTGTCTGCTGCTCTTGAATATGAAGCGGCTACGCTGGCTTCTGGTGGATACAGTGAAATAAGGACTGTAAAAGAAGAACAACAGTGAAATAAATTGGACCAATCGTTTCACATGATAAAAAGCCTTATTGAGAAACAACCGAAGACTATTAGGTGCTGGAATTGCGGTGAAATGGTAAAAGTAAGCAGTTCGCGCAAACGTCCAAAGAACACTACGAATCGAAAAACCGTGCCGGTGACTGTACAGGAAGAAAGCGTGTTACCTGAAAGTAGTGAAACCATACGAGTAAGGCGGTTTCAAGGAACTGTAGAGAAGGCAACGCTTGTCATGGCGGAACCTTCGAAGCGCAATAAAGGTGTTGGTCAAGGAACTCTGAACTTAAAGGGGTTGGCCACATCTGTTAAAGAAGTCACAGTACAAAGAACGTCGGTTGTCAGCGATGAGTGGGCCCCTGTCAAACTTAGGGAAGAACAAGAGAATGATCCCGTCTTAAAGAAGATACGAGAATGGAAAGAGGAAAGTTTAGAAATTTGTATATAAATATTGGTGGAAGAACACAGTAGTCAGTTAGTATATGGACAGTGAAGATAAATAGTAATTAGTAGATATACAGTGGTGAATATAAATAGTGATCAGTTTGAAGACATTCGAAGTATATATAAATTAGAAGTAGTTGTGTTATAAAACAAGTATTAGAAATTAAAAATTTAAAAAAACCGACTTCAAAAACGTGCAGATGCCGTCACCATATCTTAACCAAATTTATATGGGACCACCCCTGAGGTATCCCCTTTTTTTTTTTTTTTTTTTTTTTTTTTCGATTTATGGCCTAGGTGTATATACCTAATATGCCAGTCTCAAATTTGTGTTTTAAATTCTCAATCATGTGTGTTCTGTGTAGGCTTTGTTACTGTTTCCCAGCGCCACTTTAGGAACAGCACTGTTAATTAGAACCCAACAGTGAATGGTCGAGTGGGGAATCCTACCAAGGCATCAGAATTAATTTTAAATAATTAAATTAAATGAAAAAATTCCGGCCAACGGTGGGATTCGAACCTGGGACCCTTGGATCCACAGGCACAGGCTCTAACCACTGAGCCACCCACCCCCCCAGGTATCCCCTTACAAACAAAAAAAGAATCATATAAATCGGACAATTTGGTAAAGCATTATCGCTAAACATACATAAAAAATGAAGAGTTTGAGGATTTTCTCACGGACCCAATTATTATATTTTGACCAAATTTATATGGGACTATCCCTTAAGTACCCCCTTTCTAACAAAAAAAGAATTATTGAAATCGGACACCGTGCCGAAGAATTATCGCTGAACATACATAAAAAAAAATATATCGCGACGAATTGATAACCTCCTCCTTTCTAGAAGTCGGTTAATAAATAAGTGTTTAAATAAATTATTAATAAATTAAAATAAATAAACATCACACTACTAATGAACCTTCTGCTAACTTTAAATACTTTTCACTACCATATCTTGGGAAAATTTTCAATGATGTTGCTGCAGTTTTTAAGGATTGCAACAATATTAAAATTTCTTTTAAACATATTAATTCCATTAAAAGCCAGCTATCACATACTAAGGATGAAATTGAGTTGCTACACAAAAGTGGCATCTATAGACTAAGCTGTAACGATTGTAATACGTCTTATATAGAAAAAACTGAGAGGAGACTCAACATACGAGCATTAGATATCCAGATAAGTTCACTTTTAAACATCATATTAAATTCAACAATTATAACGTCACTCCTTCTGGGAATGTTACTGTTCTTCATAATATTTTTAATTGCAACTTTAAACTACATCTTCTTGACGACCTTGAAACTGTGACCTTGAGATACACAGACAGTTTAATAAACCAAATATCACACTTAAATTCATCTCAATAGCAAAGTTCCTCCTCTCTTTAAGAGTATTGGCAACAGTT